CACACACACACACACACACACACACACACACAGACAGATCAGCACACTGCTTTACTACCATAAACTTATAAAATAAGCTATACATTAGAAAATAAACCCTTATGTAGCGGTAAAAACAGAAGGTAATGAATTAAAGATTTTCCTGAACTTACCCATCAGCATAAACACAGAGAGCATTCATGAGAAGCTCATTCTTATGGCCACATCAGTTCAGATATATACTAGTATATATAATATACTAGTGATGGTCAGTAGCTCCACAAATAACCTTCTATAAATAAACAGTGAAGAAAATGTTGACAACAAACCACCTGTATGACTGTGAGGGGTGTTATGTGTGAAAACGCCTCTGTTAATCAGGAAATGAGCTCTGAAATAGCAGAGCTATGCAGAAGCTTATCTCAGTAAATGTATTCCTCTGTGCCTGATGAAAAAGCTTGAGACATTTAACTATGTGTGCTCTTTAATAACAAAGATAACTTCAGAGTGTTTTTCAATGTGACTACAGGGTTTCAGCAGCTGATCCCTCTCCACACCGAACTCTCTGATGGACAACATATGGATATATAATAGTGACCAAACTAAAGCAACATATTACACTTCCATACATCTCTATTGCATCACTGAGGCTGAAGTGAGCCTGCTGAACTCATTGTTCTTGTCAAGCGGTTGAGGTTTAGCTGGTCAGTGAGGGCCATTTTAACCGCTGCTGCAGGGCCGGCCCAAGCCTTTATGGGGCCCTGAGCAGAATTTTACATGGGGGCCCCTCGATGCCGCCAATACGATTGATTAATGTCAATGCTTGATTATCCGCACACTATAAATCTAACACACCCATTATCAGTTTTATTTGTTCTGGCTGTATTGCTTACATCATGCCAGTGTCTGCCTGGCATGCTTTTACCCTTCTACGATTTTTTATTGTAACAGTAGCAAACCCACGAGAGTGGTCAGGTGTTAATTTGCACTTTAAAATTCAAAATCTTACAGTACTAAGAGGCATACTTAATGTAGTGTACTGAAAAGTAGCTAAATAAAACAATGTTATGGAACAGAATGTTATTTTAACAACATATATGATTAAACACAGCAGGAAGTCATCTGTACATCTAAAACAGCAACTCTCAACAACTGAGGCATAATGTTAATATAATAGCAACGACCCAAAAAGTTGGCTAAGGTAAATAATGTTAAGCTGATATACCAAGTTTATGAAACAGAAGCTTATTTTTATTACAAATAAAGTTATTTTTACACAGAAGACAAAAACTTTAATCTAAAACTAGCTGAGTAAAATGTTATATTATAAGATGTAAAGATGTCAAGGCTATTTACGGATGTCTAATCAAACATGAACTTCCCTAAAACAACCCTACCTTTTGCATAATTACCATGGTCCAGTGGGGCATAATATTTCACAAAATTTTTTTTTCAATTTAATGTACATTTTTTGGGCCCCCTGGTGGCCACGGGGCCCTCAAGCAGCCGCTTATTTGCTTATGCCTTGGGTAGATGTTGTAACTACTACACCATCTGGCTGCACAGAGCATTTTTCTTCATTCACAGCCCTTCAAACCATGTTGACTGAAATATTTTTCTCCATTTGCAACATTTAAATTGTAAATATTTAATTACATTGTATTACAGATCACATTTGTCTCTCCAGTGTTTCAGACAAGATCTCAGCAACATCACACATGTGCTCAGATTTAGTAATAGTAATGTACCCAATGCCTTTATCACTGATTTACAGAAAAAAAGTAACCCTGGAGATTTCTTCACTGAAAAGCAAATAAATGGCTTATTACTCTGTCTTGGTTATTAATTGACTAATTTGATTATCAATACATATTATATGGTATAAATTATTGAGCTCATATTGAGACATTTGACTTGGTGCACACTTTGTAAAGTTGTTGAGAGACAAATGAGACAAAGGACACAAATGTGAGACCACCAGTGTCTCTAGCTAAGGAGAAATATCTGAGCACAGTGTGTGATGATGATGAGGTCTCTTCTGAAACTTTAAAGGAGACACATGTGAGAGTGTTTGAGTTTTTGTCTCAGGAGACAGGTTTGAGAAGCAGGAGACTCAAGCAAAAATCTCCATCTTAACCTCATTTCTGTCTAGGAGAAATATTTGAGATGTTAAAGAGATCTCCCTTTTGATTTGTCTTTCCTCTGGTCTTTCCTTGATGCTGTAGGTTACAAAGACTGTAAATAATCCAGAGTATTGCTTGAACATTACAGTCACACTTTCTGCATCACATCAGCACTGGGAGAAGAGTTGCATTGTGGGAAGTGTAGCGTGTGTTTAGCTGAAGCCTCACAGCTCTTCCTGTGGCTGTGGTTGAACTTCCTGTTTGGTAAGTAACTGCTGCGGACATCTGATGTTTAACTGAAGCAAAAAGGCCTTCTAGTAATATTTTCATAAAGCTAATCGATAGTATTAGCATCTCAATGGCAGCTGCTTTAAGGAGCCTCCGTTATTTGTTGCTTGCAAGGATTTCTCAGAATATACAGCTACTCTTGAATGGTCATCAACAGAGAAAGATGCTTTTTAGCAGCAGACCGGTGCAGTTCCAGCATCTACCAGCAGGAGTGAACAGATGACACTAACCAGACAAACCTCGAGCCAAACATCTAACAAGAAAATGCTACATACAGCACACACACATTAACAGATATATAACAAAATAAAGAGAAACATGCACTTGCAATCTAGAAAAACATCATATTATATTATATATTATGATATGATATTAGTTGAAATGAACTAATTTATGGTGTTGATGGAGTACTTGGGTCTGTAGGAACACATATGGCACAAGTTTAGGAAGCACAGCTATAAACTACAGTTGTTTCTGTGTCTGTGTCCTCTGGATTACAGTGACGTCCAGCGTCTTTGATCTACAGTCATAGAAAATAATAAATAGTTAGTTAATGGACAAAATAACTCAACCAGAGTGAATCTGTTTAATATTATAACACATGAATATGATCATTCACACACCAGCTGCTGGAGATTCAACGTCAAAATACTGAAAATCACTGCAGTCACAGTCTTGTTTAACGCAGTTACTGCTGTCCATTAAATGATAATACACATCAGTTTCTTTATACTCACCTGTTCATATAACACTGGATTAAACTCTATGATGGAGGACGACAGCAGACCTGTGCAAGAGATCGGTGTTAGTCTTTCTGCGATTAATGCTGTAAAACTCTATAATTGAATCTAGTTTCTCATGCATGTCCTTGCAAACACAACCAAATGCAATCTTCAGGGTTTTGTTTTTGCTCTAAATGCTGAAACCTCAGAGAAAAGGACTTATTTCATGTAAATTATTACCTTTAGTCTTCTTTCTCTTCCGCACAGACACTATAATCAATGAAAGACCAATCAGGAGTAAAACCAAAGCCTCCGCAGTGACGATAATCACAACTGAACCTGAAACATACAGGAGGAAAACGCTGTCTGAAATACTGTATAAACAGAAACAATCATCAGAATCAGCTTAGAAACTGTTTAGAGAATGAATAAATGAAAGACTAATGAATGAAATAAGAGAGATGTTGTCACTTCCTGTTCAGTGTGATTCTATAAGTTCACTCTATATGAGTGTGTGATATGTGGAGAGACGTGTACCTGTACAGGTGAAGAAATCTGCGCTAAATGACAGACATCATCCAGACATAATGCATATTAAAGGAAAATAAAGAGAGAAAGAGGAAGATGACCTGACCTGCTGAGGAGTTGTGCTGATCTGTGATTGTTTCTTTTCTTTCTGTGATTGTGATGCTGCTGGATTGTGGATGTGGTTCTGTTGTGCTGAAATATGACGGTGTTGCTGTAAAAGGGCTGGTAGTTGAAACCTCAGTGGTCTTATTAGCTGATGGATGACATGAAATATCAACTTAATCTCAGTTAATATATTAGCACACTGAATATGAATTATATTGTGTATATAATTATAGGGTAACACTTTATTTCGATAGTCCACTTTAGACATTATATTAACAGTAAGTAACTTTGCAACTACATGTCAACTAGCAGTTAGTAGAGTATTAGTAGACTATTTGCTTAATATCTTCTAACTCTTTCTTTGTCAACTTATTCTACTAACCCTAAACCTACCCTAACAGTCTACTCTGAGAGTTAGTTGACATGTAGTTGACATGTAGTTACAAAGTTACTTATAGTTAATAGAATGTCTAAAGTGGACTATCAAAATAAAGTGTAACCAATTATAGATTGTGCAGTGAATTGACTTCTATATAATAACATGAGCTACATCTGCTGACCCTTTCTATGTACATTTCTATACTACAATAGGTCCATTTGCAGAAGTCACATTAATCGCTTACCGTGTTTAACTAGCAACAAAATCTCTGAATAGACATCAGTACTTAAAGTCCTCTCCACTCCACACCAGTATTGTCCTGCATCCTCAGGT